GAATCATAATATTGGGCCCACCTAGTTTCTGACTCTATTTTTTTCTCTCCTGTTCTTAACCTTTCCATTCATGATCAAAATTTCGCTCTTGGTTTACATACCTGTCCTGTAATTTTTTATTATAAGAATTTAACCTGGATATAACTTTCACAATATGATACGAAGTTAAGTTAAAAACCCAAAGCTTTGTATCCTTTATATTCTGTGTATTGGCCATATATTTTAGCTCAGTTATATATAACTAAAAATGATAATTGTAAATTTTAGTTTTGCTATGCTATCTCTGACAAAAGTATCATATTACATGTACGAATTTATAATGTATAGAAATTTGTCAATACTAAAAATAATTAGTACAAATGTTTATATATTTTAAAATAATCTAAAATATTTGTAAACATTTCGAAATGTATAGAAATATTTATATAAATATGGATAAATTTTTAAAATTTTTTATAGCAAAGCTAAAGTCAAGTTGTATATTTATATATACTTCAATATGGGTCATATTCATAAAACATACTATAGTGCAAATACAAGGTATTTATCAGATAAGGCAATCAGAGAAAACATTATTCAGTAGGGTACCTAATGCCATAAATACAATGGCAAAAAAATATCGTATATCTGTTTCTCGAGCCAAAGAATATATTAAGAATCAGGAATATAAACAGCAAATGATAGATGAATCAGAGATGAGTCAAAAACTTGAAGCTCAGCTTTCTCCAGACTCTGCCTCTTCTTATCTATCTCAGGTACAAAGTACAATTTCTTCTAAAATAATATCTATATCTTTAGACCCAAAGGGTCATTGCTTTGCAATAAATAATTTGTTAGAAGATAACAATATACTTTATTGCAGGACAGGCCATTAGGCAATTCTTTGAATCACGGCTCTTCAAGCCTACATACTTCAGTTAAAACTTCAGATAGACAGATAAAAAAGAGGCGATCAAAACCCAAATTTATTCAAGTTTCTGATTTATCCACTAATAGTGATACCCAACTTGAACAAGTATTAAATAAGGGAGAGAAACAAATAGAAGGTTCAGATTGTATATTAAATAGTTACTTTGTATCTTTCTCTAGCAATTCTTAATCAGTTTTCTCTTTATTCATAGTTTTAAAATTTGATTATAAAAGCCTGTTACAAATATTAAACTCAGTATTAATTTTGATAGCTCTCTCACAATTCACACATTTTTTTTAAAAGTCGAATTGTCAGAATCTAAGCTAAAACCCACAGGTACATACCATTTTTCGAATGGTATATTCTTATCTTTATCACTATCTATCTTCTAGAAAATTTGGTCTAGTACTGAAGACTTACTATCTTAAGCTACAGTTGTGCAATTTACTTCAAGCTTGTTCTTAACCTTATACATATTAATTGGGATAAAATACTCTTTACCATTGTATACAAGTTTTAATTCACGTCTTGATGCAAGTAAATTATAATTATATTTGTCAAGTAATGTATTAGGTAAAATTAGTATCGGTTTTTGGTATTTAACAATTGCAAAATTAGAGTATAATACAACCAGGAGTAAAATTTATTGGTACATTACGAATAATCCCAATAGATTCAGTAGAGGCAGTAGCAATTCTATTAAGATCATGTTTTATCTTTGTATCAATTACCAATTTTAATTGTTTGGCTATATCTTCGGTCATAATTAGAAAATTTGCATCAGGATCCACTATGACCGCCGGAATTACCAATCGTTTAATTTTGCATTTTGTAGTTACAACATCAGTAGCTAGTTCTTTTTTTTGAATGAAATCAATTTTCATAGGATCATCTAAAGTTTCTTCTTCTTCATCCGATTCTGCTATTCCTGATATTGGCTCTCGATAATTTATAAAATCATTATCTTTTTGTGAATTAGAGTTCTTTGAATCTTGAATAACAGAATTTTTTTTAGAATTAGAGATCAAACTTTGTAACAAGGATGGTAATATTTTTTCAAACTCACTTTGAATAAGTTTACAAATAGTTTCTTCTAAAATAGTTTGTTTTATTTTGTTTGTTTTGGGTGTATAAGATACTTGAGGCTTTTTTTCTTCCTCATTCTTTTTTTCAGATTTTATAGACTTTTTTCTAGAAGAAGGTAATTTATTCGATTTTCTTTTTTGCTTTACTTTTTTTTTGATCT